TGGTATGAGATGGATAGCTGTAAACCAATGACAGCCCCTGTGACATGCTCCAACTCACCTATTTCAGTTCTAGTGCATATGCACCATAAATGGAGCACCATAAATGGGGTCAAATAAGGAAGCTGGAATTAGAAATCAAAAACTCGGATAGAGATTTGTTTAAAAGGTAAAACAAAAAGTCATGTTTAAAAAGGGAAAATGTGTCAAGGGAAAATGTAGGGGCAGAATCCAAACAACAGCATAAGAATCAGTAATACATGCTGAACGAACTGTTGAGTCTCATCTTTCTCAAACAGCATTTTCCATGCTGCATGGCAATATTTCAAAAGCAGTATTTGAGATGGTTGTAGTATGGCCCAGTGTCCCTTTTACACAGGACAGCACACTCTCTGAAGGGCTGCCAGAAGGCTGTCCTCTGCTTTGAAGGTGTTTTGTGCCTAAAGGGATAGTCACTCCAAGTCCAGTATAACAATAAAGAACCATTCAAAGGGGGAGTGGGCTCACTCTGAAAATTCAGGGCTCGCTCTGAAATTGCCCCCAAACAATACACTGAGCAAGGCATCCAAGTCTCCTGGTTACAGCCTTCCATACTGTCAGAAAATGCAATATACCCGTGTCTAAATGATATCATTACAATAATTATCTTTAACAACTGCATCTATACATATAAATTAGCATATGCACATTTTATGGCAGTATGTGCCCCCTTTTATTCCCTGTTTTGATAATGTGTGTTCTGTTTTTAGCAATTCAAAAGCAGCTTGCTACTCAAAAAATCCACCTGGGAGCAGCTCTGCATAAATAAAGTCTTGTTCCTAAAAATATTCTAGACCATAACTTTAAGAAAAAATATCTATCTACTAATGTCTTCAAATTAATTAAGGTACAAAGTAGCTGGCAGTTTTAAAAAATCTAACATATATTTTCTTACAAAGGGAATAAACAGTGAATGAACCAGCGTAAAGATTGCTGTTAACAAGCAAGCTGAAATGAGCTTACCACAGTTGCTTTAACAAAGAAGGGATTACGACCATGAGCCTGTGGTTTTTGTTCTGTTTTATGGGCCATGTGGTCCTAAGCACTGAGTACTGACAATGGATAAGAGTGGAGGGTTAGTCTAATATGGTAATAATGGGGATTCCATCTACAGACAGCTGTCTGCTTTCCCCCAAATCACACAAGTGCATATCCATTATAAACAAATGCAGGAAAAAGATCTCAGCAGGTAGTGGCTGAAATGCAGCTTAAAATCTGGCTAATGGCTTTTAGTGCAGAGGAAGCAAAACCTGGCCAGATTCATAGATTTCTATCCACTATAGAAATATCTTCTGCCCTGTGCTGCAAATAAACTCATCTGTCCTTTTGTCCTCATTGAATGCAATGCATAGTTAATGATTTTCTTACCACTGAAAATAAAAAGTTAGCTGGGCAAGGAAGCCATTGAAGTTTTCAAAAGTGTGTGTGTGTGTGTGTGCATTTACACTGGCTATGGGAATAGTCACTTGGTTATTTACCTGTTCACAGCTAATATTTTCAAGAATTCAGATCAAGCAGATTTTTAGTACCTAAATGTAGGGTTAATAAAAGGAAGCAGCATTTATCATAACACACAAGTAACAGAGTGCAAAGAATTTCAACAATATAAATATCAACTCCTGATGATACTTTTATGTTACAGAGGACTTGGACTAATGAGTCTGGCAGCATGCTAATTTGGGACGCTTAACAATTCTTTCAAATGACTAGGGACACAATCCTATGCGTGTTTAGAGAGCAAAAGGAAAGTTGCAATTCTCATATTCCCAACCTGCCTTTGGTCGATTCACTCTGTACCTATTTATTTCAAGGCAAGTCAACAAGGAAGGTTTAGCTTCTTTTGTATTTTTAAGGGAGAAATAGATTCAAAATCCCCTCCATCCTCTTCTCACTCTCCACAGTTCTCTCAAAGCCTACAGGGTATGTACAAGCAATAGGATTGCACGCTAAATGTAGGTCAGTCATAACCACAGGTTTATAACTGGACTTAGTCATACTTAGAGCAGGCAAGCAAAATTACTGGGATGTATATGAGTCATAACTAATTGAAGTCTCACTGAATTCAGTAGGTCTGCTCAATGTACGGCTATAATTGAACAGAAGTCTTTCTTTTTAGAATACCAACAAAGTTCCAGATAAGCCAGGTCATACTGAAGTATTCACAGCTCTTCACAACAATTCACAGAAATTACAAACAACACCTCTCTTTTGCAATCATTTTCAAATGGTTGTTCTACAACTCTATCATAGCTAGCATAACCAATGATGAGGGATTATGGGAAATACCATCTTAAGGGCAACATCTTGATTTATACTTTAGCGGTCCGCAACCCTTCTGGCAAAAATTCAAAATTTCTGTTTGAATTTCAATTCTGTTTGAAATTTTGAAAGAAGGTTGAAGCTGCTCTTACAAAATGATTGCCAGGGAGGGCTTGCTCATTCACAAAGTGGCTGCCATGGTGGGGTGGGAATGGCTGGTCTCAAAACATTCATTTCCCTGTAGGAAAACTGGAGAGACAAAAAGAGAAGTAACTTGCCAAAGAACCAAAATAAAAGGCAGAGATGGGGCTGAGTTCAAAACACAAAAGTGGTCTTTTGAACTCTTTTTCAGAACCAGTGTGTTTTAGTGCTTAGAGCACTGGTCTGAGACTTGGGAAACCCAGATTCTATTTCTCATTTGGCTATTAAGTTCACTTGGATATTCACTGATTTTCAGTCTAACCTACCACACAGGGTTGTTGTGAAGTTGAAAAGGATTGGAGGAGGAGGATCATGTAAGGCACCTTGGTTACTTTGCTGGAGGAAAAAGGGTGGGTTGAAATATAACAAATAAATGGCACTAGAGGGCAGCACTTTGCTTTGCAGCCTACCAGCCTCGCAGTTTTATAAAAGATTACTAATTCAAATTATCTCAAAAATACAAGAGGAGAAGGGATCCAGGTAGGTGCCAATAGGAGGGGTGCCCATGGGTACATTGGTGCCCCCAGATACAATGCTGGAAACCCTGGACTTGCTTTAGAAACTTGCTTTTACATTGAATTGTCTTTACCTCATTGGCCTTCAGTGATATGTAGCAAGATCTGATTGGCTAACACTACCCATTGATTAATCTGCTGTCACTTTTATTTGCCTTCATTGACATGACCCAACTAAATATATCTGTGAAACATCATAAAGACTTCTTCACTGTGCAATTTCTTCATTGGTTGGAATCTCCTCTGTGACTGACCCAGAGAGGAGGAGCAGTTTTGCCGGGGGAAAATGGTGCCAAGCCAAAAGTAGCCAGGACATGTATCAATGGCAGCGGAGACAATTGTGAAAAGGTATATCAAAGAATTTTGGAGACATACCCCTGCCCTTCTGAAATGGCATTCCTAGCTCAAATACTCCAAATATTTGGTGGAATAGTACCATGTATACATATGCTTGAGATTGCGGCACTGACCTGATTACAAATAATTTTATTTTTTAGGTAAGTGATGGGCTCTAAGCTCTGCCACTGTACTCAAAGAATGGCACCTTTCATTTAATAACTGTTCAAATGCTATGGAAGGGGCGGGCACCCCCTGCTGCAAGAAGGTTAAGCTTGCTGGGGAGAAAGGAAAGAATCTCAACAGGGAGAGGTGTCCTAGATTGCTGCAGCAAAGTAAATGGTTGAGACAAAAAAGATAAGATACATTTTTAAAACTCTGTTCCAAAAATGATTATAATACTCAAGATTTTTTTTAAATAACTAGAACAACCAGCTGACTGCTAACCCAAGAGAAGAGAAAAGCAGTCTTTCAGGAACACAACTAAAATGCTAGAATCCATACAAATACAAGATTGTGTGTCAATTCTCAGTGATGTACTGGCAGTACCCTGTAACCGTAGGTGCCTGTGACAGCTGCAGAACCATTTTCCACACATCTCTGTAGAAACTGTGGTATAAGATGGAGAGAGCTGCATTATTTTGATTGCCTGTAAGTGCACAATATGTGCTATGTTGCAATAGTAGCACAACCTGCAAGCCACAAAGGTTATTGAGGTGATACACAAGTATTCCTTCTCACATGAATTATCCATGAACCATGATCATTTTCATGAACCACCAGGTAATTTACAGAACATACATTGACCCATCTGACCACAGATTTTTCCACATCCGGGATGTATGACCTTGTTCAATTCACATTTCTACTGTGTAATAAGAAAAAGGAATGGATTACTTGCCTTCACTCCTTGTCTTGAAAATGTTCTACCTCATTAACACAGAATTCTATTTATGTCTATTCAGACATATGTTCCATTATGTCTGAATTTAACTTTAAAAATTACTCGCAATTTAACTTTTAAAAAATTACTCCCAAGTAAAATTGTATTTTATTGGACCCTGAAGTTTAGAAATGTTTTGTTCAAAGATGATTAGATCAGGAGACATACTGTCGAAGAAACCCTATCGTACCTCTGCTTGTCATTCCTGTGGCAACTGCAGAGTTATGACCCACTTCTATTTTCTATATTAGACCACTCTGAGCAAGGAAAAAGTAAAGTCTTCATTGCAACATCAAAGCTTTTCTAACTTCCTCCAAACTTATTTTCAGCACTGACCAGTTTCATATGCTCTGAATACACTTTCGGAGGATTGTGGCAGAGAGAGAAATCAAAATTCAATAGCTTTCAGAAGTGTATTGTAAAATGAAGGTGAGTGCTATTGTGCTGACCATATGTTTCCGTCACTTGACATTCTCTAGGGCTCTCCAGTTTGGAAAGCAAATAGCCATTTATATCCACATAAATAGACCCAGACCCCATTCAAAAAGTTATTCGACAAGAAAAATTCAATTTAGAATTGTGTTGATAGGCTTCATTAGACCCAAGTGCTGAATCTGAAAGGCAAGATTATTATGTTTGTCCCAAGTAACAGTAAAGCTTGGTGAAACAGCAATGTTTTTGCATTCTTTATAAGAAAATAGCAACACTACCTGATTGGTCGGTTCTCTTTACTATCAAAAAGTGAAAAGATTACTTCCAATTCTTCTCCCAGATTGGAACACATCAGACTCTTCATCTGAATGAAGAGATGGTGGCTGCTTGCTGGGACTGGTGTGTCTTTCTTGTGATGACGGTGTTCCATCTAGGCATTGGCAGCAACAGAAAAGTGCAGTGAGGTCACACAACTTTTTATCTGAAATGAAAGCTTATTATGGAATAGCACAGAAATTCTTGTTCCACATCGCATTATTATTGTTCACTGAATCTATGCTAGCCCCACATAAAGTAAACCTATTGCAATAAATGAGATTTAAATTACAATTAACTCAAGTCCCATTCATTTTAGTCAGGACTGTCTATGTGGCACTAGCACCAGATGCTGTCCACTGGGTACTGTAAACTTAAAAGCTCCATGATTTTCATCTCTTTGTTGTTGTTCTTATGAGATAATGAGACATTGGATAGGCTTGAGACCCATCTATTTTTTCTAATCACAGAGAGACTCAATTTTCTCACTGCCTGTTCATTTATTGCGGTTATCCCACGTTCCCACTTTCCTCCATATGAACAACCCTCTGAGGTAGGTTAGATTGAGGAAGAATGTATGGTGGGTGGGAGGGGCTGGACTGCTCCAAGGTAAACCAGTAAGTTTCAAGGCTGAGTGGAAATTTGAACCTGGATCCAGTCAGCTCCAATCAGATACTCCAACCACTATACCACATAGCTTCAGTGAGTCTCTTTTCTGTACCTCTGTCCCATAGGGAACTTTGCAGGGACCTTCAGTTTAACCATAACATACAGCTCAGTTCTAGTATGTTCAGCCTCCTTCTGTTGATGGAAAGATTTCAAAAAATTCTTATTCCTCTAATAAGTATTCTGAATCTCCCTCTACCACAGAAATAATTTTGGTACCATGTTACAAATAATCGTCCTTTTATTGCACGGAATCCATATTTTATTAATAACTTTGAAAAGGACAACATAACTTGCCAATAAGGAAAATAGCAGTTTCCAAAGGTTTTTATCAACTTCATCGATTCACCAATTCACACTGTTCTTTCCAAGCATTCTGTTTTTGTGAACAATGACCCTTTAACAAACATATTTTGAAAGCAAAAACTACACTGACTCCCTGGGTTACTGGCAGTTTAAAAACAAGCAAACTCTCATCTGGTGGGACAGACTGAAGGCTTTCGCCTCTGGTTGGAACTGGACTCTGGCCTTCAGATGGGATCAGAATCAATAATGATGACTAATTGAATACTGGTAATTTGGTGAAAAGTAGCTGGGTTTCCTGTGCACAGAGTATTTTACCCCTCCCCCACCTACTCTGGCAAAGCAAGGATCTTGTTGAAGCCAAACAATTTTGCTTTCAAGTCCTGCTTGAGATAGAGCATTTCTTATCTCTGAAAAGATTTCCCAATTATCCCAAAGCAATTCATTTTCATCTGGCATCATCAGGCATTAGCACAACGAACAGGAGAAATTCAGGGATTTACACACCAAGATATATTCACACACACACACACACACACACACACACACACATACACACACACAGAGATATGGCTGCCACTCCATCACTTCAAGGATTTCATGCGAGTCCTTTCACACAGTAGCTTCTTTTCTATCATAAGCAGGAGGCTTGGCGCAAGCACTAGGATATCCCTGTGCATGCCAAATGTTTTATTTCTTTCCTGATGCAGCATTTCAGAATGAAAGGCCCTGGGGTTTGTCTTAATTATAGTTAAGGGAAGTCAGGCAGAAAGCCTAACCATGGTAAAGTGATGTCCAGAAAAGCTCTGTGAGAGAAAAGCGAGTGCATGGTCCCATGGCCCAGTGCTAATCACTTAACTGTAGTTAACAGCCACATTGTGTGTGTTGCAGCCCTTTGTATGCTATAAACTATTGTGGAAACTACACAAGTTGTTTCTGTTAATGGAAAAGTAGAAAAGACTTATCACCTACCAATCTATACAGCTCTGTAATACTGATTTCCTCTGAATCCACCATAGCATATTCCTTCCTTGGAACCAAGTCTAGTCCCAGTTGCCTGAAAGTGAATATGTAATGCCTAGTTAACAAAGGACCTTGAAAACCATCTTCAAAACACATGCTGAGCATAATCATGTTGCAGTGCATGTAACCCCCCCAAACTCGAGGACTCAGAGCAGGAGTAGCAGAGGTGATCTTCACCTTCCTGCCCTCCTGTTCTACATCTTCCACTAACTGGAATATTTTGGAAAGAGAAGGAAGGAGGCTGGAGAGTCTGCAGGATAAGGTCATATATAGGCATCTCCAGGGTCCTCTTTTCCCCATCCACCAAACTGCTTCCCTTGCCAGTTCTCTGAGGTTGCTTTCCCAAACTTAGAGAGAAGCCAGCATGTTCTCTTCACACTGAAAAGAAAGGAACTTGGGGCTTCAGTTCTTAGCACTGAGTTTCCAGTCTTGGAGCTAGGAATCTGAACTACCCTATGGCCCTTCAGACACTACCCTATGGCCCTTCAGAAGGGAGCCATAGGATTGTACCCTCCAGAACCCAGATGAAATACTATTTATCATTAACTTGATAAAAGTATTCCACTGGAATACTCCAAGATCCTTGAGTATAAAAGGAAAAATATGCAATGCACACTGCACACTTTGTTGTAAAATATAGTCTACCACAAGGCACACAATATTATTAAAAACAATTACTACTTTTACCATTTATACATCAATTAGCCTAGTATGTTTCATCATTTTGTTATAACAAAAAATACACCTAGTTATTTTTTAATCCAGTAGAGTCCCTAAGATTAGTAAATCATTAATACTTAACCTCTGTAAAATAAAAGAACTGGAAGTTAAACACTAATGATGATGATTTCAATATGTCATAAGAAATGATGGGGAAAAATCTGAGAGAGAGGATGGTGGTGGCAGTAAAATAAGCATAAGAATAGAATTTGCAAGTAATTAAGGGTTCTCTGTGTGTGACATTCTCAGTATAGGCTGTGATAGTTCCTTTTCTTTCTTTTTCTGAACTTGAGACTGTTCCCAAGTCTTGGATCTATAGGGCCCCTTAGTCTCTAGATCACAAATTTCAATCTGAAGCACACAGATTTCAAAAGGGTGACTTGTGGAGGTGTGATGTCTATGCAGTGAGAAGGTAGGTGAAAAAGGAACTCTGTCTTCATAGGGTTCTGATCTACCCATCATTCAGCAAGGAACCTATATCTGAGTAAATACCATACATTAGCAGATGGCATAAACATGAATAGCTCACCTGCTTATAATTCTGCCAAGCAGCAGACACACTTAAGTATCTTTGATTTGTAAACTGTACACGCAGCTTCTTTGATTTAGTAGATTAAAGCTCTTGCAGGAATTCCTACAGCTGCCTGAAGCCTTGCTTCTAAACAAATAAATGGCAGGCAAACCACTTATGCAGAAAACAGAAGATGCTAAATCCAAGCAAAATGCTTTCGCCATTCAGACAGGAACATCCCTTAAAATACTCTGTCCCAACACACTATTTATAACCTGAATTCACCTTCATCAATCTGCACCACTCGAAAACATTCCTAATCCTATGAAATAAGACCACCACACTCTACCATCCACCGCCGTTGTCTCCGCCTTCTCCTCCATATGTTATTTCCCTCGCTATATGGCCTTCCCCTTCTTCCAGATGTTTGGAACTTCAGTTCAAAGCAGGATAGCCAAAGCTCAAGAATCCTGAGAACTGCAGTCAAAAATGTCTGAAGGAAGGCCAGTTGGAGAAGACTACTATAATTGAATGTGTGCTGAGTTAAAGGATCAATTAGAATGTTTTGTGTGTTTGTACAAAAGTAACAGGTCCACAGCAAAATAATCCACACAGATTATGAACATAAGAAAGGTTCATTCCATCCAGCATCCTGTTCATGCAGTGGCCTATCACTGCCTGTGAGAAATGACATTCACACTGCCTCAGTTACCAGAAGTGGCTTACAGCAGTCAGGAACAGAAGCCATGGGTAGCCTTGGTCTCTATGAATTTGTCCAATGTTATTTTAAAGCAATTCAAACTGCTGGCGATTGCTTCATCTTGTGCTAATGATTTTTATAGATTAACTCTATGCTTTGTGATGAAATACTTTCTTTTACGTATCCTGAATCTCCCACCAATCAGCTTCTTGGGATGGCCACATGTTCCAGTTATCATTAGAAATAATAATAATAAAATGTTTCCCTCTCCACTTTTCCCATACTATACCATAATGCTGTACACTTTTACCATGTCTCCTCTTAGTCACCTTTTCCCTAAGCTAAACAGTCTTAGAAGTTCTAACTTTTCCTTACAGGAGTTGCTGCAGTCACCTAATCATATTAGTTACCTTTTTCCTGCACTTGTTCCATCTCTTCAATATCCTTTTCTAGGTTCAGTGAGCTGTCTACAGTATTCTACATGTAGTTGCACAGTAGATTTGGCAAGGGAAGTAAGATACTGACAATTTTACTTCTGATTCATTTCTTAATTGTGCCTAACATGGTGTTTGCCTAACACACTGTTCTTGTTCTGTGTCATCAAGTCAACTCTGACTTATGGTGATCCTATGTATGAAAGCTCTTCAAAATACCATATCTATGACAGCCTTATTCAGCTCTTGTAATTTCAAGGTGACGTCTTCCTTTATGGAGTCAATCCAGAGGGGTGTCTGCTGCTTTGCAGACTTATAACACTGGGTTGACATTTTCATGGAGCTGCCCACCACTATCCCAAGATCCTTTTCTTGGTTAGTACACATTACCTCAGATCTTATCTGCATATAGGTAATCTGGGATTTTTGCCACAACATGCATTGCTTTATATTTCATTGCACTGTATTTGTGATGTTGATACCCATTCTCCAAGTTTGAAAAGATCTTTTGGGAATGTTTCACACTCCCATTTTGTTTTAACCACCCTAAATAATTTGACATCACCAGCAAACTTGACCACTTGGAATTACTCATAATTCCAAATTATTTACCAACAAGTTAAAAAGCATTGGTCCTAATACAGATCTTTGTGGGACCCCACAATTTATCCCTCATTTGAAAGAATTTCAAATAGTGGAGAATAGCTTAAGTTATGGCATAGAAACCATTGATTTAGTCAGAATGGTTTTGTTTTTGCAGGAAACCAATGCCCAACTTGAAAATTAAGAGTGAGTGAGGCAATTGTTTTATGACTGCTGGGAACTAAAGCTCTCACTGGTCCTAATGGCAATTGCTGATACTTTACTCAAATGATGAAGCCACAAGTAAAATATAGGAACATAAAGAATCTATTATACAAAAGGATAGATGCTAAAGACTGCCCTCCCTTTCCCATAATGCAACTTTTCAAGTTAGAAATGTACCCTCTATATGTAGTTCATTTTCTAGCATCTGTGCCACTCATTTGCCAAGTTAATACAAAACAAGGCCCCAAAATCTGACATAATTTGAGGAATGAGTCAGAAGGGCTATATATCCCATAATCTTGATGTAGGAGTGTATCCCAGAATCAGGATGCAAGCACCTAGATGCTTTAAGCCTGCATTGTCATTCTCCCAAGCAATATTGAACAAGAGAAGCCCATTCTGTTTGTTTTCCCCTTGTATGCAGCATGTCTAGAATAAAAAGCAACTGGTTGACTTTTCAGCTCTGCAAGGTACTGTCAAAATCATCAGCAACTGTATCTAGCAGTGTTTAGATCACATTCAACATCAATACATTCAACATCAACAGCTCTATGAATTTTTCATTGTCCAAAACAAGTGATAATATTATGCATTTAGAAGTAGCAACATGAAATACTTTGATGTGGTATGCAGTTCATACTCAAAAATACAGAGAGATGTGCTTGTTTGCTCTAAGATAACATGGCATGTTGATTTAACTCAAGTGTGTTCAAGTATTCAGATCAGAGCAATAGGCATGAGATTCCAAAAAATCCTTCCTGCACTTCTCCCCACACTTGATTTATATTAAGTATGCCTTCACATTGACTAGACAGAAACTGATCTGGTTGTGGAATCACACAACAGAATCATGGTTCAAGAACCACAACTGATACAGTCAGAATTGCAGTAACAAATGCACGAGAATCATTTCAATTAATAAAATTGAAAATATCCTTTATTATTTGAGGCACTTTTAAATGTCTTATCATAGACAAAGTCACTTCAGTGAATGAAAATAGCAGATTTAGCAGTCATCTCTTACTCACTCATTGCCCCAGTCCAAGCGAGCTGTGATGTGCTGTTTGACATCCTTCATCCTATCATGGGTGAGATGGCCAACTAATACCTGCCGTCGGAGGTCTAGGATTTCATTCATTATATGCCATAATCGATGAAAAAGGTCCCCTTCATTTCTCTGTCAAATATATAAACAAATTCTTAGAGTGTTAGCGGCATGACATTTGACATATATGGCTCTGCCTGTCCTGGATCCAGAAGCTAAGAAGTTGACGTTAGCTGGGTTCATATAACATGGTGCCTCATCGTTAATGACAACCTACACTCAACCAATATTCAACCCTGAGTGTGGGTTCCTGTGTTCTGTGAATCCAATCAATACATAAAAATGAAGACCAGTTTTTTAAAAGGCCTATTCTGCATTGCTTGATACTTCTGCTACAACTTGATCAAAGCATAGTCTACTTCGGTAATGAGTTTGATCTCTGCACTTGATTTTCAAGGCAGTCTGTATTACCAGCATTCTGCAAATATATTATCTTAATGTAGAAAGAATTTGATAAAAGCTAGTACTACCCCTGGAATAATAACTGGGAGTACCATGAGGAAAGTACACCAGAATATGTACTTATTCTGGCTACCTGCACGAGCGCTTACGTCCGTATATGCCCGACCGCCCTTTGAGATCTGCGGGAGAGTCCCTTCTCCGGGAACCCTCCATGAAAGAAATTAGGAGAGTAAGTACCCGGAGGAGGGCTTTCTCTGCGGTGGCGCCCAACCTATGGAATTCACTCCCCAAAGAGGTCCGCCTGGCACCGTCGTTACTGGTTTTTCGGCGCCAGGTAAAGACCTTTTTATTTAAACATCATTTCAATTGTTAAAACATATGATCTGGCCTGGGCAACTTCTTCTTCCTTCTCTTTCTCCTCCTATATTTTTATTTTATACTGATAATTTTAATTTTGTATTTGTAAATCAATGTATTTTTTGTATTGTTATATTTAATGGTAATTTATTATGTACTATTGTATTTCAATGTATTTTATCATGTTGTAAGCCGCCCCGAGGTTTCGGCAAGGGGCGGCATAGAAATGTTAATAATAATAATAATAATAATAATAATAATAATAATAATATGGGAGAGGCAAACATTTTTCATGATTGTGCCAGCTGAATCCATTCATAGGTCTTATTCATAAGAATGTCCCACTCAAGTTAATCCCTATATGCAACCAGTGGCACATGGAGACAAGCTTTATAGTCATATGTGTCTTGCCATTGTGCACAGAAATGCATATGATCCAAAATTTCCCATAATTAGTTGAGCATGTTGTTTATCCAGCTTCCACATTCTTTCCATCCTTTACGGCAGATAAGAATAATGGGGTATTTACATTTTATGTACCTGAATTATATGTGACTTTTTCACAAGTACAGTGGTGAGGTCTATGATCTAGAGACCTGTCCACATCCTCTGATGCAATACAGACTATCTCCAAGAATTAAGGTAATGCCTGCAAAGGTCCATAGCCATTCAGGATAGCAAAAGGTTCAATAGAGCAGGGATGTACCACCTAGAGATTTCCAGTTGTTTTGGCCTACAACTACTATCAGCCCTTGCCAGTGTAGACCATGGCCACAGAAATAGTAGGCAAAAACATCTGAGTGGCCACCAGATGCAATTGCCCAAGAATCAAAAACTGGGGTTAGCCACATATGGTTTGGGATGAGTATTTTAAATAAATCAACTCCATTATGTATTATATAATTTTAATAGCATTTTAGCATGCAAATAGCATTTTAGTGTGTATTTTTTACTTTGAAGAATTCAAGGTCATTCTGCTTTCTTTGTGACTCAGAGTGGGTCTTTTCTATTTAAAACATATTTATATCAAATCAAAGTCCATTGAGGCAAGACACTTTAAACACGTCACATTTGAAACATTTTGGTAGCCAATTCCCCCATTCTCTTCATTTCTAACATTAATCCAACTCACTTCAATTTTAACATCTCAACATTTACGCACCCCCAAACATGCACACACCCCTGCTGATTTAAGGCCAGATTTAAAGAAATCTCATTTTGGCTTGAACTCCACAAAGCCAGGAAATTTAAGATTTTAGAAATTTAAGCTGATAACTTATATTAGCTATGATCAATGCTAATGTTGCACAATGTCCCAAATCGTGCTTCCCTACAGCATACTTTCCATGTGTTTCCACCAACACTTTCCCTTGATCATTCAGGATCAAATTCTGCAGGTGGAATGCCTGCGACAAACAAAGATGGCCGTATTGCCCTGGTCCTGTATGGCTTTATAAAGTATATGAACCTTACTATATTGCTAAAGGAATCTTCCTGTGAATTTGCTGCTTGTAAGCAAGCATAATTTGCGACACTAAGCAACATCAATACAGAAGACTACTTTGCTTTATTATTTTGCCAATCCCTCACCACCCACTAAATTCTGGGTTCCAAAATAATAATAAGGTAGATTTACCACATAAAGTTGTTTCCACATTGTCCCCCAGTCTCTTAAGGTTGATGTCATCTCTGTGATAACAGAATCTTCTGTTGGAACAACCATTTCAAATTGCCTATTACAACCAGAAGAAATAGCTTGTCAAATAAACATCCTAATTAACAATAATTTCATTAAACATTACAAACATACACACATTGAAAATAACTGGATTTACTGAGCCTATATCAAATTTCCTTCAGATTGCCATTCACACTGGCAAAGACCAAGGGACTTACTCTAACAGGATCTTGCAATTTATTGGATCAACTTAGGGTACTACCAGATGAGGTTTTATTGTGCAATCACACTGTCTTGTTCATAGAATTTCATGGCAGATTGAGATTATACTGTCCTCAATTTGTAGTCATCCTATGATTTTTTTAGCTTTTTTACCAGGAAAAAAATATTAAGGATCCAAAGATGGAACAGCTATATGTTCTTGATTGTAATTCCTTGAAACCCTACATCTGGAAGCACCCCCTAGTTAACACTACTGTATCAGGGCCAGAAAGTTGCAGTTCATGTAGTGATTTAAGGCCATCTCTGTATTATATTAACCTCCATTAATATTTTCACTTCAGAAAGGTAGCATGGTTCAACCAGGTGAGAGAAAACAACAAAAACCAAAGAATCCTATGACAGATAACAAATGTCAGTTGATCCCAGTACCAACATAGGCATAAGCTGTCTATTTTCTAATCAAGGTTAGGAGCTGGAGTGGCCAGGTGTTCTTTTTTGCTGAAGAAAGCCCTCTTTTTAAAGGCTCACAGAGGACTGTCCTCTCTTTGAAGGTATCCTCAGTAGGGAAGGCTCTCCTGTTCATTTCTGTGTAAATACAAATAGCTATAAAAACTGCAGCACATCAACAGGATCTGTAGGCCAGACTGACCAGACAGATGCACAGGTCACTTGGTCATACTCTTCTACCCTAGGGTGAGATGGTCTATATTTCCCTTTAAATTATAGTAATCCTTCCAACATTTCTATTAGTATACACAAATGTTATGCTGATCACTGTTCTATATTGCTCTGGATTCTGGTAAAGAAATTCCTCATTTTTTATGATTCTTAACTAGCTACCATATCAGAAGTCCAGAAGTACCCTAACAGATTTCATATTCCTTTCATCGTTCTTGTGAAACTGTCCTGGCCTCCATTTTTCATTTGAAGCTAACTATATAATAGCATTATATTTGCACAGCTGTTTTCTCTAACCAAAGTTTAGTTTACAAAACCATTTTACTTTGAATGCAAGTGAAAATATGACACTGTACCATGATAACCTTCAAAAATGAAAAGAGGAAAATAGATGGGTACCTAAACCCACAGATTCCAGCTTCTGAAGTACCTGTGCTGCATGGTGTGATGGACCCTTGTTTCAATAGATATGTCCATCTGAAATGCAATAACTACAACAACCTGCCATTTCCCCATAGCTGATTTTCTTTTGCTAATGTAGGAACTCAATTTCTACCTACCCCTTGTTCTTAACACATGCATTTTTCAAGTGAACATAGTTGGACGGGAAGATACCCTGAAAGAGAAGAATTGTTAAAGAAAACTGGCAAAACAGAGAGAGAAAAATGTCATAAATACACAATTAATGTGGGGGTGTGCATTTGCATGTGTGAGGAAATAAAAAAATGAATCTGCAGTATCTATGACTAAAGCAGAAAACGCTGCTGAAAAGCAACTACAATGGAACTTCCTGTATTCAGATGTTCCAAGGAGATATTTGCAATGACTGGATAATCAGTGGTTTTGGAAGTGATTAAATTTCTCTTTGATTTCTGGGGGAGAACAAATCCTGATTGAAAAACATAGAACAGCACTTGAGGACCTACAACTGGGTCCTAATTTTCCACATTTCCACCCCTCCCCATCAGTCAGTGCATGCAAGAGAGGGCTTGTCCTTTCATATAGTGTATTTCTCAGGCTCTTTAGTTCTTCCTACAGATATAGCTCTTCTTTCACATTCGAAAAAGTACTGCTGTGCTTATTCCAAGGCATATGTTGAGCTGCAACACAGAGTATGTACCTTTACATTTTATATAAATCTTTCAAAGTGAGTTTATGTGCTTCTGAAATTTAGAAATTGAATCAATTTTACCTTTAGATTTGGGTTTTTTAAGGCAAATCCTCTATACCAGCCTGTAGAAGAAGAATACATGCATGTGAACTTGCATTTAACTTTGAAGTTAAAATTCTTCCACACATATTTTTCAAATAATAAAAACTGTCAGCAGGTTTGTTGGATAATACAGGACTGGCAGTTATGTACAGGCACGTCCAACACTCTTCTGATGGTAGTTATACATGAAGAAGCTTATTCAGGATTAAACCCTTTCTTCCCTTCCACACTAATCATTTACAGATGTTGCACGCTACTTGCCATAAAAAGTTAGGAGACAATAACCAATAGTGCCTAGATGTACTTTTAGGACTTGTAAGAAATGAGTACTTGAAAGTAAGTAATTCAGATTTAGGCAACAGCATATATATCCCCCCCCCCCCACACACACACACACACTTTACCCAGCAGACTTGTAAGATAGGATATGCTCAGAATTGATCATTGGCCGAGGGCCGCCCAGTGAGAATTTGAACTTGGATCTCCCCATTCCTAGTTTGACACAATAGTCATTCAGACTCAGACTTATGCAACTGGCAAACCTCCAAATGAAAAGATAAAAGAACTCATGGCATTTTCAAAGCTACACTATCTCCCCTCTCTCACCCAAACATAATAATATTCACACACACACCCATGCACAGAGCACTTTCTAAAATAACACATTTTGAATTAATCTGATACCTCAGTCATGGTTGATAATAATAATCTTTACCTTAAAATTCTGAAGCATTCTTTTTTTTAAGCTCTCATGTGGAAACAATACACATATGTACCTGGGCATACCTTAGGGCAGGTTCAAATGACATGACAATTCCTGGCTTGTTTAACCTAAGAATTGATGTACTTGAGTGGGAATGAGTGACTGTACAACTTCTTGTGCACTTGCTGCTTCTGCTTTCAATCAACAATCCAGGAATGCTTAGTTCCTGGGTCGTTATTGTGAGATCTGAGCCTACAAATCTTAACAAAGCGAAAAAACAGTGGGAAACTCTAGGTTGTTTCCTGGATAATTGATTACAGTTGATTGAAAGCAGAAGCAATGAGTTGTTATGCAGCCCTATGAATTCCTCGAACAGCCCAGGAATTATCTGTGACACGTGAACTGGGTCACTGTTTCGTGATAGGAATGGGAAGTGCTTGCTATGTATGGAATAATTCTTTTCCTCAGTGACAATACTAACCTTTTCCACAATACCTGGAGACACTAGTTTAATGTGAGACATCTTGGATGGGATGCATTTTACTACAAGGTATTCTACATTACATGAACATCTCTGAATTCTATAGCCTTTTGCTCCTAAAAGATTAAAGTTTACCTGTATTTTCTGATTAAATGGTCCTTCATCTATAGCAAACACTGGGATTCTGCCTCAGTGTAATTAGGAGAGATGACCTTGAGTTTCCCTCCCTGCTGACAGTTGCTTGCTAATGTCAACACTTACCATCACATTTCTCTAGTATTTGAACAGTGTCTCCAATCTCCAGTGATAAGCCATGTGGGACCGCTCCTCGAAAACTTGCAATTACTGAAAGAGATATTAAATCCCAATTAATCATCACCATCCTTTTTTGAACAAGCTACATTTGCTATTAAACTTTCACACTGCAAGGCAAGGCAAGGCAGTTAAATGAACAGATTTTTCTAAAAATCACAGTGCTGTAAGCTATTATCAACTATAAATAACACATTATTGGATTTGTAGTTTGCGGGTAGACAGTTGCAGCTTATTTTTTTCCTGACTTTTACCCAGTAAAAAAGAGTCTGCTTAACAGTGATAGAAGAAATTAGCAAGGAAGCAGCAGAGTGCTTGGATACCTTTCATAGTCCTTCTAAATCAACTAGGTTGGAGCCAGACATAGTGTGAAAAGGAACATTTTACAGAGCACCACACCACTAAAGTAAGAATCTCAACTGTGACAATGCATTAGGATGCTCCCAATTAAGGCTGTGATTGCTACCTGCCTATAATCAATTCAAGTCTTTTCATTTCCTGATATTTTGTGTTTAGGATGTAACCCCTGATGCACCACCAAAAAGAAAAGAAATGCATCACCTCCTCTAAAAAAGAAGTTATATATTTGCTTATGCCAATATGTATATAGGTGCAAATTTAGAAATAATTGAAATAATTTGAAATACTGTTATAATTGAAATAAAACCACAATGCATTTAATCATAGCATGAAACACTGTGTGCCTCACTGGCCTGCTATCTAGGTACTGACGGCTGATGATCAATTTCTCCTGATATTTCTTTATCTTTTAATTATGCTTTGCTTGGGTAGTTCTCAAATAGAATGTGCCTTCATAGAAAATTCAGTGGGCTGCCCTCTGACCAGGAGGGCGAGGTACCCTACTTTAATGAGGTAGTACTCTATTTTGGATAGCTAGCAGGGGACAGTCTCCTATTTGATAGAAATGGAGGTGCCCTCCATTTGAAGAAGTGTCCAGTTCAAGTGCAGTTTAACATCCAAGAACCATAACAATTGAGAGCTGCAGCCCCGAAGTTAACAAGCAACAATTTGCAATTGAATGACAGACTGAGCAGCCACACAATTCAGCCAGTCAATCTTCTCTAGTATGATGACACTTAGCGTAAATGCACTGAAACTTCAAAAGATTTGTCTGTGCATGTAAATCTGTATGTGCAACTTTTCTGCAAATTAATATCCCCTTTTTCAGGGGATACCTCAGCAGCCTTTCAAGCAGAGGACTATACTCTGTAAAGTAGGACACAGAGCCATGCTACTGGAGAAGAAATCCTTTAGTAAGGCGCAGTTGAGAAGGCCATAGATCCCATACCCTCTGCTTAAGAAAGCTTGCCTCTTGCTGTGTTCTGCAAGAGTGTGAAGATCTTGCCATATTCAAAGGTGCTTCCAGCTTAGACCTTGCTGGTAAATTAATTCAGATTCAAAACTATTTGTTGTATTATCATTACAGGTGACTTTAAATAAGCTAGCATGGAGCTTTAACTGTGATTTCAGCACATTACAAGCTACAGAACAGACAGACACACACACACAGCCTGTGCACAAGAGGGAGAGAGGGAGAGAGCGCTAAATCCTGAAACAGGAAGCTTAGTTATAGGAATAACAGTGCCACTTTTGAGAGAAGCTGCTAGTGCATTTAATTGTCCTGCAAATGATGTGATACATGTTCTGAAGAGATAAGAATCTTTATTTCTCTGCCTTTATATTAATTTTTCAACCTAATTTTACATGCATTTTAATTTTGTTATGGGTAGGTAAAAATATATTAATGGGAAGGAAAGGGAAGTGATGACTATCCAAACTCTGGCAATAAATTTGTCCCATTTCTCTTCAGCAAATGTGGTAATATCATTAACGTTTGGGTCAAAGCGCGTGCTATGCTCCATAAGCCCAAGGGAGAAACAGAAACTGGTAGCTGAAAAAACCTTCAATAGACAAAACTATGGGTTCAGGCAGAATGAAAGGAAATCCATCAGACTGGCTGAGAAAGCAAGACTCCAATAAGGAGGAAGCAGCTGTGGAATTGCAGATGTGCACGGAGAATTACTTATCAGTCCAATCAAGGAACTGCAATGATTTTTCAAGACCCAGCTACATGACAAATTGCCTTGAAAGTACCAGCTGCTCTCTCAAAGACATTGCTTGTGAACAAGTCCCACAATGGGAAGTGGGGGTGTGCAGGGCATCCTGCAAGGTCAATAGTGCCCTTAAACAGTAATCCTGAAGGCACTTCCCCTTAAGGCATCCAGTTACATGAGCTGAACAAAACAAGTATCTTTATAAAACACCACTGAGAAGGGAGACACTTGATGTTTGTTGTGTTTTCATACAGTGGTGTTTTAAACCAATGTTTCCATGGACTGGAAAAAGTGAGGCAGCTATTTTTCAATGTTACTGTCATTGCAAAAATATGTCTCCTATATTATCATGAAAAATGGTATACATTTATCAATCAGTCCACATGTTTATGTGAACCTATGGCACAGGGGCAGCACTTCAGACTTCAGTGGTGATGGGAGAGAGACGGGATTTCAGTGAAGAGGGAATCTGTTTGTGTGCTTGCTCTTTGGTATCACAAAAACACAGTGGCTTTGATTCTAATGGAAGTGAACAGAGGAAATACATAGAAAAACACTTCCTACATGCTACTATCAGCAGCCACCAGCAGCACACCTCCACCCTATAAGTCCCTCTGAAGGGTCTGGAGGACCCACCTGAACCATGTGGGGAAACTATCCTTTGATTCACTTCCTTCCAGGTCCTTATCTTAGGAGCCAAGCTCCTGTATTTTAACAGCATGCGATATTCTTTTTTTGTCCAAACCTAGTGACTATTACAGTGTTAGCACAGAACAGCGACACAAGGTTTTAAACACACACACACACCCCCAAAAGGATTTATGAATTTAGTGTGAATATGTTCATCAACTTCAGTGTTGGTAGTAATAGAAATATTAGTATGTAGAAAGAGCAATGTGTTCAGAGATACTGAGCAGTAATCACACATTATCTGCAACATGATGGGTGCCTCCACTGTTCTTAAAGGCACACCTGGAAAGTCATGACCTGCTAAGCCACTGGTCAGTTCTTCTGCTTCTTCCTAGTTCTATCCTTAGTCATGCAAAAAAGAAAATCCTATCCAGTTCTGAAACAGACAGCAGAGTACTCTATGAAGCCTTTTATGCTTATCAGTATTTCACATTTATTTCATGAGAAAGTGACCTGTTTGATTCTATACATAGTATAAATAAGCAATCATCACTTGCTGCTGCTGCATTACATTTATATCCTACCTACCTTCCTTCCTCTTGCAAAGTACCTAAGGTAGCTTTCAAGATTCTCCTCCTCTCCATTTTATCTTCACAATAATACTCCTGTGAGGTAGGCTATGCTGAGTCTGTTTCTGCCTCAAAGTCATCCAGTGAGTTTCATGGCTGAGTGCAGCCTAGAACCCAGATTCCCCAAGTCCCAGTCCAACACTCCAGCCACTACACCACACTGGCTGTCATACTTTTACCACTTTTATCTAAGCAAGTGACACGGTAGTATTTCTACCAATAACACCCAAGGCTTGATTAAAAACAACAGAGAGAGCTAAAACAAAAGGCAAAAGTGCATTCACACAGTCTTTTTCATTCAACATAAGGATGAATCATATCCCAGCTGTGAGCAATGTAGAAGGAAACCTTGTCTGAAACACTCACTTTTCTTACCTCCTTCTTCACCCACCAATTTCCTGTTACTTTTTGTCATTTTCACTACTTCTGAATACTGTTGTGCACTCTAAAATATTTTTCAATATTTTGTATTTATTCTATTGTTGAGAATAACACTGACCATCTGTCAGACTAATCCTGAACATTTGTACCAGGAGGTCTGGCACAAGTGCTTAATGTCATGTTTTATGGTACTGGATTTACTAGCAATGCTGCAAATCCTTGCCCTGGCTTACAAGATATCTCGAATGATCTCTTACTATAGCTTCCTCTACATTTGTGCATTGTGTTTAATGGAACTTACTCCCAGGTAAGCTTGCATAGAATTGCCACCTCGTTCTCTTCCTTGTGTGATGCATGTACAGCTGTAGACATAAAACCACATAAATGTGAGATTAAGGCCAATTTGCATTGTATGGCATTGTCAAAGTTAGAAATGTGCTGATACAAGAGATGCTAACTGAAGTCAAGTCTGCTATGAAGTAGAAGAATGCTATAAATCTTAAAATACAAATGCCAACACAATATAGGGAAATCTGCAGAAGAGGTGGTAACCTGTCAAAAGTGACTGAATAGAAGGCAGAAGAGAGCAAACATTGGATCCAGCATGTTCATGAACTCTCCTCCCAAAATACACACAGAATACTAAGAGATCTCATTTTAAGGTAAGCCTCAAAACATGTAGCCCACATTCCTAGCAGAGATACTCAAAAGGCAGCAAGGGTGCATGGCACAAGCCAAGACTGCACTGAGTTTGCTAAATAAACTTAGAAATGGGCTTAGCAATGGGGCAAAGAGGAAAGATGCTTAAGAAATCACACACAGGGCTAGGCATCTAAAACAAAACAGAACTACTCCCCAGCTCACCAGTTGCATGGACCACAATCTGTCACAAAGAGGACACTTGGCACCACACAACCTTGCATCCGAAACATCTCAGGTCCACTGTATTGAAGGGACAGCAGACACCACTTCCACACAGTGGAAGCTCTTCCTATCATTTCTTAACTTCCCATAATCCACAAAAGTTAAAGAGCAGCTTTTTACTTTGCAATGGAGGGCTGCAGAGTGGCACCAAGAAGGAACACCTTCTTGGTGGTGTCTCCCAGTTGCGGCATGATCTCCTCACTGAGACCCACCTGGTGCCAATGCTGCCATTTCTGACACCAGGTTAAGACTGCCCTTTACTTCCAGGCATTTACTGGTATTCAGCTCCCTGTGATGGGACATTTATATCACCTGTCTTTCAAACGTTTCTAGTATTTTCTTCTGAAATTTGTTTTGAGCTATATAAATCACTTTAAATGTTGTATATTGAAAT